ATGGACGCCGTCCCTAAGCTTTTACAAATTTTTTTTTTATTTTAATAGGGAGCGTCCATATTATATGGACGTCGTCCCTTGCATATGGACCCCGTCCATATACATGGACGGCGTCCATGTGAGTGAACGGCCGTCCAAATTTGATGGATGGCCGTTCACTAGAAAAAAATTATAAAAAAATGGAAACGCGTTCCACGTCCCCTCCATATAACATGGACGGCGTCCGTGAGTGAACGCCGCCAATTTGATGGATGCCGTTCACTAAAAAAAATTATAAAAAATGGAGAAACGGTTCCCGTCGGTCAGTACATCGTGCAAATATTTCGGTGTCCGTAGTGTTATTAAGATTCAATAGACTAGTGATTGAAAGTACTTCAGACACCATTGAGCCAAGGTTTCTCAAGGAAAATCGGATAAAAAAAAAAAAAAAAAAAACCATTTGAAAATTATGGGGCAGTTTTGGCTTATTATTTTTGCCCTATTCTCAATCCTATTCTCCAATGATGTTGGCACATATTCTAGAAATTTACCCTATTTTTTTAATTATTTTAGACCCCATAAGTTATCAATTTCATAAATATCCCCTGAAAAAAAGTTTAAAAATTCACAAAACACCCGTGACCCATACTTGCCAGATTCCGGCAACCACCGTCAGTGGTAGTCGAAATCTCCACAACGGTGAATTACCGACCAGAATTGCCAGTAATTCCCACCATCTGGCCTTTTACAGCCAATCCACAGTGGATCTGGCTGAAAAAGGCAGATCTGGTCGTCGTTGAGTCAACGAGGCCAAATCTGGCCAGTGTTGCCAAAAACAACGGCCATATCTTTGGCCGTCGCTGAAGGCCAAAGATGGTTTTCATTTTGGCCTTTTCTGACCGTCGATGGCCACAGCAGCCGTAGATCTTGCCTTTTCTGGCAATCCATGATGGATCTGGCCAAAAAGGCCATAACGATGCGTTACACACAGATCCACCAGTCTGTTCGTAACGCGTTTTCTGATCAGATTTCAACGGTGGTGGCTGGAATCTGGCAGTTGCAGGTGGTAGGGTATTTTTATCATTTTATGTATTGGGTATTTATTAAATTAGCAAACTTAGAGAATTTTTTTTCTAATTTTAAATTTTATCTCCTAATACTCTCATATAAATTTATATTGTTACATCAATTTCATGTTTAGCACTGCCTCCTTAAAGACTAGCCTATTACAAAATCAGGTAACTTTTAGGCTTCCTAGACCCTAAGCTCTCTTTTCCAGACATATTACCACGTTTCAACAAAAACAAACCGTCTTTCAGTCAGTACAGTCTCTTTACTGGTCCTCATTTTTAATTTCTATTAGTAATATAGTTAATTTGTGTCCAATCAAGAAACCAAAAAAAATAAAAATAATCCATAATTAGTTTAGTCTATAGATGTAGCAACAGTTGTAGTGTCCACTTTTGACCTTATGGAAAAGTAAAATTACACATGCATCAGGTTCCAAAAATCAGTTGAGCTTCCTGCGAATCAAATGGATCCCTCATTCTCCTCTCTCTTGCAGAGTCCTACATAGTACAGCGGTTCTCCTTGCTTAAGATTCTTTTCCTCCCAAAACTTCAGTTTCTGTAATGTACTTTGTTATTTTGAACAAATTCAATTTTGCTTCAGATTCTCACTCAGATCTGATCTTGTATATTAGATATTTTTGTATGATCTCAATGTTCTTAGATTTGAGTGCTCATAGCTCACTTATTAATCTGCATGTACTTGATCATTAACTATAAGTCGATACTTGTAGAGCAATCTCAATCTTTAGTCGTTTGCTTGTTGGTCACAAATCACTGAAAGTAGAAGGAACCAATAGCCAACCCAAACCTATTAATTAGAATCTGTTATAGTTTGTTTCTGATTTGATGTAACCTTATTATGTTTTGGAGTTGGTTTTGTGGAACCTACGATTTACTTCTTTGAGTCCATATAACCCTAAAATGGAGCCAGCCTGACCATAGTTGCCTCTCCCATTAGAAAAGGAACGCAAATTTGAACAATGGAAAAGCAACCCCTAGTGTTATCTTTACTAAACTCTGTGAGGCTTATTAGTATTAGGAATTTGAATTCTGTCCTGGTTAATCCAGTGATATCTCTTTTGATAGTTTGCTTATCTTAGACAGAATCAAAGGCTAAACTGGAGAAGGATCCTCAAGGACGTGCAACAAATTCTGATTTAGACCCATCTGATACAGAAAAGCTTTTCCGGGAACATGTAAAGATGCTTTATGAGGTGATTTTGCAACCATTTCATGTCTCTCATCTGATGGATTGTTAGTTATGCATTCCCAGTACATGGTGTGTCTGTGTGTTAAAACTTTTGTACTATGTGGTATTATGATGTACTAACCTTATCAACTCATCGTAATAGAATTTTGGGATGCTTCTTGGGATTTCTATTATTTCTCCTTCATAGGACCATTTTTTGAATTGATTTGTTTTACTGTAGTTTAAGAATTCATAAATTATTGCTTTAGAGTATAAATATGACTCGACGTAAATTGGTGCTTTTGGCTTCTCTTTAGCGATGTGTTCAAGACTTGATTCTTTTAGCTGAAGTCATAACTAAAAGCAGTTGCCCAAGAAACAGAAGTCGGAAAAACAGTTCTTAATTCATGGTCACACTAAACGTCTTTTGAAGCCTGATCCAGGTATAACAGATGCCAAGAAAGAAAGGGAGGCTTTGTGCGCCGATATGCTGCGCAAGCAAAGAGCAAAATCTAGAAGCTCTGGGAGGTCACATCAGGTTCAAGGAGAAACCATGAGCAGAGATAGCTTTCCTTTTGCATGCAAGCTTGACTCTTTGTAGAGTTTTCTGAATGCTTATTGTTTGGTCCAGCTTCTAATTTACATAGTCAGTGTTGTATATAATGAATTTTTGGATGGCAACATTGAATTACTAATGTAGTGAACAACAATGTCCAGTCTTGTCCTAGCCAAAGGCTTCTCAACATCACATTCAGTTTTTGCTCCTTTTAAGAGTAATTGGAAATCGGAATGGGTTTAAATGATTAATTTACCCTTGTTTAAAATTCTATATTTTCCCTTATAGCTTACTGTTTTAAAATAATTATCTTGATTAAATAGTGTTATTAAATTAAGATATTAAAACTTAGTAATTGTTTTGGAATTCATGGCCACCAATGCTATTACCCACATGTTGACATATTGAACAAAAGACAATATTGTCATTGTGGTATAAGTTCATTATCAAATATTAATCACAATTGTGTAACTTCCTACGTTTGTCAACAACAAAGGAGTCTGTCAAATGTTAGCATGGTTGGTTTTTCGTGGTTAATGTGTAGATTGATTATATTTGGTCGTTGACCATTCACGCTCTTGTGCCCTCCTAAAACATGATATAGTCTTTAACGTGGTGAGCGGTTCTGGATACCCTATAATTTTTGGAGAATGAAAATCGGAATTGAACCTATCGGTTCGTAGTTGGTTTCAGTTCTTAAATTCCTAAAATCAGAACCTGAAATCAGGTTTTGATTCCTTATCGGTACCCTGTAAAAAATCAATTACCTCTTATAGTTTAAAAAATACAAAAATACCCTAAAAGTTTACAAATACACCCTAACGAATTAAGAAACCTCACTTTAGTAGTTTTCAATTTTTGATTACTCATTCATTTGTGTCCAATGTAACTCATAGATCTTCTAACTTTAGACAATACTTGAATTCAATTATTCATCACCATTCACATAAAATTAATGTAGTAAGTTATAATGTTATAATAATTAAGTAATTATTTAACTATAATGTAATATTATACACTAATTAAGTAATCATGATATAAATCTATAATGTAATGTTATAATTAATTAAATTTTAATCATTTAATTAAGTACGTATTATATAGTGAATTATTAATGTTAACAATATAATGTTATAATTAATTAAGTAATTATTAATTATAATGTAATATCATATTAATTAAATTTATAATCATTTATTAGTACCAACGCTGTTTTTTGCGTCGAATTAGCATCTTTTTCTGCGAAAGGTGCCATGCGTCAATAGATAGTAGCGTCAGCGCGGTATTTCATGCACGGTGCCGGTGAAGGAGACATTTTACGGTGGTGTTGCTCGGTAAAGCAAGCCACCATTATAACTGATTGAGGGCATATGTGAAAGGTCCGTGAAATGACTTCAAGTGGGGACAAGTATTCCTTTATGCAGGCCCACAAGGATTCACTAGTGATGAAGTTTCTTAAAGTGAACATTGACGACCTCAGATTACATTTGAACATTTTCATAAAATTAAAAAAAAAAAAAAAAAAGAATAATACGATGGAATTCAATATTAAACTGTTTACGATCAAATAAGAGCTTCACTATTGCTAGGTGGCTAAAGTAATACATCCCTATCGGAGTTGAGAGTTATTTGTTAGATAATCTTTGATCTTAAAAATGGAATTGACAAACTAAAGGGATCAAAATAACTAAGGAAAAACAAAAACTTATCTCCAGCCATTTATGCTCTCAATCACACACTCACTATTTTTTCTCTTGCGTTTTGACACTTTTAAACTCTCAAAACCTCAATATGAGGTTATTTTGTTTGAGGGACCAAAATCTCAATTTATAACCAAACCTCTTATCAAGCTTTAATATTAAACTTAATGACGGTTTAAAATCCAGTTATAATAATTACAAAAACTAAAAAAAAAAAAAAAAAAAAAAAAAAAAAAAAAAAAAAAAAAAAAAAAAAAAAAACGTTTGAAACTGAAGCGAAACATAGACCATTAATACTGATGTAATACAAAATCAATTTCTAACTTTTCGTTGTGTAATCGAAATCTTACATTTTCTTGCTTGATCCGTATGTTTAAACCATTATTTTTTTAAGAAACAAATACATAGAATCATGACAACAAGTCCTCTAACAGCGAAAACCTATTTAAGTCTAACCTTCCGTTTTAAATGAAGTTTAAAAAGTAAACAGTAGGTACTGATCAATTCGGTTCACTGCCCTTTATTTTTAAGCATCTCAGCTTCACTGTAGAATCACCCTTCATTCATAATTTCGATGGTTTAACAAAGATCTCATAGAAACTATTCACAAGATAGCTATTTCATGATTACAAATTTGACAATAAATTTAAACATAAATTTTTTGTGTTTATCAAGTTCCAAGTAATGGAGACATTCTCTAATCATCCTGCTTGGCTTGAAAAACGATCAATCACATTCCACAGTTAGCTAGCAACAGGATTTCTTAATGTTCCTGCAGATATCAGCCCACAATTTACAGTCTCAAGGTCCCCTCGTTAAAGAGATCCTAAACATAAATCTTTGCTATACTTTTGTCAGTCCCTTTCAGTCTGTGGAAAGTATCTTCGAGCATCAAATGGCTGGTTTCGGGAGTTTGAATCGCGTGAGTCCGAAATGCATCCCCCATTCATAGGAGCAAATGCTGAAACCAGAGAACGTAAAATACATGAGGAATTGCCGTCAGAAAAAACCTTGATTTTAAATAACTGAAACTTGCACTATCTAGCATTTAATAAAAGTTTATTGTGCTCGGTTAAACATGGAAATCAAACTCGTTAACAGTTGGTGTGCAGAGAACAACTTGCTTCTGTATTACAAAAGAGGAGTTGACAAGCTAGGATCGAATCAAAGCATTAGAACAAACTGAAAGTTTATCCACTAATGACATGTAACTGTTCCCTCTTTACACAACCAACAAGCATGGTACCCAATGAATAAACAAATAGAAAAGGGGAAAGCACACAAGAAGTAATTGACAACACACAAAATCTCTCAGCCTCATTGAACCAACCTTTCTCTCTCATTCTTCTTTCTCTATCGTATTCAAACTTATCCCGAATTTGATTGACCTTCTCCCAGGTGTCACCTTGCCTATTTCCCCGTAAACCTTGATCCTGCAATTGGAAATCCAGTCATATGAGATAATTTCAAACAGAAGCATATTTGAAGAAGTTCTGATATCCAACCCATTGACCATAGAATGTTTTCTGAACTTGATTTTGATTGCACAGATAGAAATCAACCATGATTCTAACAAACTGAATAGCAGCTAAAAGCTCCAATCAAAGGTAGATTTGCTGTTAAACATCTTGTATATTTTTAAATTAAAAACTCAATTTCCTCAATAAGTAAGCCCTCCACTATTTCTACATTATCATTGTTCTATCACATTCACCTGTACATGAGCATTTCTCTTTTATTATCTCCCCACCCCTTGTTCTTTTTGATAAGTGAAAATCTAGGAGAGAGAGAGGAGATCATATTTATCATCATCATATTGCTAATAGTAAAACGTTCTAGAAGCAAGCTAAAGGTGCTTTGGATGAATTCCAGTCAAATGCACTAAGCAAAAGTCAACTGAAGTAAATCCAACAATAATTAAAATCCATAAAACTGCAAATGAAAACTTCCATCAGCTTCCAACAAAATAATTATCAAAACGCAATGTTAAGCTTAAAAAAAGGGCACCAAGGAGTCGAGAGAGATTCCAAAGGAGACCCATTGATGCACACAAGTTGTACATTATCTTGAACCAGAAGCCTAAGCCACTAAGTTTCAAACAATCAAAGTAAATATCAATTTGCTGTTCTTTTCCATCAACCACACTACAACCTTTATAAATTCAAGAAAAGCTAATATTTGAGTCATTCAAGGCAACCATCACACATCAACCTTCATAACTAGAGAAAAGCTAAATTTTGAGCCACTCAAGTTTATACCTTCACTTGGTCGGCATGCGATCTCCTGCTGCTCCTGTACCAGAAGCAAAGAGCAAAGTAAATAGGCTTCTTCATAACAACATAATTCAAAAGCTATTTGATGAAATGCGCAACACATAGGTACTGTCACCTGTCACCGTGCCAATAACAATGCCAAAATGGTAAGAGTTACCAATGTCACTGAGATGATGTTGGGTACGATTTATATTTTGTTAATACTATTTTGTTGCAAAGATGAATATCTAAAGTGACTTTACAAGTTTAAATCTTTACAGAACCGATGTCATGGTTACCAGAACCATTAATTTCAATAACATATAGTGACTCTATGGTAAATTACATAAAACAACATATAAAACCTGTATGGGTTAAAATCTTGATCATCATCTTCAGCGGAGTCATAGTTGGCATGATCTTGAGCAAGTTTCTTGGAGTAACCCTCGTCCCAATAAAGCCTCTCCCAGTTCTCCCTTAACTCCTGATACAATTCCATGTACCTTTTGCAAAATGGTTCATGCTCCTAATTCATTCACAAACAAATCAATATAATTTTCATTTACAAAAACAAATGAATTCAAATAACATAGTGAGATACAAACTGATTCTTTGAGGACAAGGCGCGTGCGACGCATAAACTGTTCGCGGAGCTGTTTGCGGCGCTTATTAGGGATGTTATCTCTGGGGATAACAAATCGCTCACGTGGAGGCACATGATCTCCGATTTCATGCATTTCTCCATCTACTATCCACCACTCTGATTTCTCTTTGATGGGCTTGGTCATGGCAAAGGAATGGGACTTGGACCTGCGCCGTGATGGGCTAGACTCAGTTCTTGCAAACCGTAGTTGGTGGGCAGCCAACTGGAGCCATGGGTTTAAGGTCTCAAGTCGCTTTGTTAGGGAAGAAGCCATGATGGTTTTCTTTTAATGTATCTGATAATAGATTAACTTAAGCCAACAGCTTCAGATACTGCTTTAACATCATTCTCTATCAAAAACAAGTTGATGTAGAGATTGGACCAATTAGAAGTTATTAATTTTGGAATTCTCAAAACTAACATATAATGAATCATGCCCACATTGCAATCTTATGACAATGCACCATTTATTACAATAACTTTAACTATGATTTTTTTTTATCCTTGAATATTTTTAAAACAATCGTCAATTGAATCTACTAATATTGTAATTCATGAGTAACATATATATGATTTAAACACTCATACTCTTTATCATTTTTAAATTATTAACTAGTAAAATCGATTAATTTGAAAGAAAAGTAGTCACATAAATGAATATTTACATAATTTCGATTTAAGATTTAATATTTTATGATAATATCAAAATTCATCTTAACAATGAAATAACCACAGCATCACAAATTAATTGTTACACAGTAGTTATTGCAATTTTAATTGTTATTATTATCATTTGGAGGATTTTTTTTTTAGTTTTGGCAGAATCCAGAATGTAATTAAAGATGTGGGTTCAAGGGGTTTAAATGATTGCTTACTGGAAAGGTGTAGGAAAGTGATAAATGATTAGGAAAATGTGGGAGAGTTAGTTACTGTCAGGAAGAACATTCATATTTATTAAAATTTTGAAATTAAAGCTTAGTGAAAAGTAAAAGAACTCAAAATTTTCAGTTTTCGAAATCTTTAAGTTGCTCAACTCCTAAAACCCTAAAAAATCCAAATAACCAAACATCAAAATTAACTAATTAACAAGACAGTGAAGATGGAAATATACTTAAGTTTGGTTACCTGGTCGGGAGATTCAGGAGGAGGAGATACAGTACGGAGAAGACAAATGAGAGAAGCGCAGACGACGTCCAGGAGGAGGGGATCTGTTTCTTCTTCGTCCTCACCTCTTCACACAGTCTTGCTCACGAACTTCGCCTTCGCTTTGTTTTTTCCTTTCGTTTTGTTCAGTTCATTACTTCGAAACTGTAATGAGTTTTGGTTTGTTTCTGTTGGTTTTGGCGCGATGGAAGATAGAAGATGGCGATGGAAGAAGAAGTTGAAGTAGGGCAGGTTAAAAGCGAGGAAATTTAACTGATATGCCTTCTCAAGTCTATTGAGAATGAGTTCACCAATCAGAATGAGTTGCTAGTCCCATCAATGAAAGTTCAACAAGAGCTAAAGGGCAAAATAACATTAGCTATCAAAACCAAACCAACCCAAGCTGTTATTAAGAGTATCTATATCAATCCTACCTTATTTTAAGATAAAGATTAAGGAGGGGTCCCCATGTGTCCCCACAACTTGCAAAAACACTCATTACATTGAGCTCCAAGGTATAAATATACACTACTCTTCATGGAAGAGGGGGCTGGGCATATGAGAGCTAGACACAAATTTGAGCGTCAACCATTATTTTTCTCTATAAACAAAACATTACTCCATCTTTGTACACCTTATAGGCGATATCAGAAAAATAGTCAGAGAATAATAAAATCACAGTGGATGTAGGATTTGCTTCAAGCATTTGAACCACTATAAAAACCATACTGTCTCATTTATTTTTACGTCTTTGCATACTAATATGAGAACAGTACCCCACTCAACTCTCATAATCATTTATGTGTTATTTCTAAGACTTTCTTAGGACTTTGCACGCCTGAAGTCGTTGGTGGAGGATAGGCACACTTTCGAGCTTAAGCTATTATTTTTCTCTATAAACAAAACATTACTCCATCTTTGTATGCCTCACAGGCAATATCTAAAAAACAATCAGAGAATAATAAAATAATAGTGAACATGGGACTTGCTTACAACATTCGAACCACTCTAAAAATCTCTTGTCAAATTTTTATTTATGTTTCTTCAAGCATATAGCATCCCTGCACCATAAACACTCACCATAATCACTTCACGTGTAAACTCACGACAGTTTGTCTGTGCGTATTTCGTTGATGTCAAAATCACACATCAACGTAAATAAAGGGAATTTGTTAACCTGAAAATCTTAACAGGTTTTTCCAATATATAATACCAATTTTCTAATTTTAATGATTCTGTATGGGCCTTCACTAGGTAAATCGCAGAGTGATATGTTTCAGGGGTAAGTAGGCCTTACCTTTGGATAGTGATGGCAATGGGCCGGGTTAGGACCGGGTACCCCTTGGCCCAGGCCCAAGCCCGACCTCATGACACAGGCCCAAGCCCGGCCTGAGCCCGCCACGTGTATGATAAGCGCAAAGCCCAAGCTCGGCTTGACGGGCTTTTTATAACCTTAGGCTCGGCCCAAGCTCGCCTTTTTTTATAATGTCAATTTTTAAATATTAATAAATTTCAAAAAAATTTTATATGTTTAATTTTAGAAACAGTTTTTAAATATTAATTTATTTTTGAATACTTACCAATTATATAAATAACATTCTACAAAGTGCATTCATCCATTTTTAGAGTATAACATAACCATAAGAGCAACAAGCAAATTGAGATAGTAAAATCTGAACAAATACAAAACAATAAACTCTATCACAAATTTCTAAGCTGTTGTTTTCTTAAGTTTTGCAAGCTCCAGTCGGGTAAGTCCACCTTTCTGCAATTATAAAATACATAAGAAGCATGCAACACATGAAAGACTAAATATCTAACCAATTGCACGGCTATTCTTTGTCATCATTATTCCTCTTCTTCCTTATCAGTGTCATCAAAAAATGTCAAGCATGATTGTTGACCTAATAAGAATGCAAAATATACATTAAAGACAATAAGACAAATACATTAAAGAAATAAAAAATATACATTAAAGACAATAAGACAAATATATTAAAGAAATAAAATTTTGATATAATCACCTTTTATATCCGACCATAACCAATTTTGAGCACACATCAATGCTTCTAATGTATCTGAATGAAGTTTGTTGTGATGTGGGCTTACTACCTTCCCACCCGTGCTAAATATAGACTCAGAAGCGACCGTGGAGACAGAAATAGCAAGGATGTCTCGAGCAATAGAAGAGAGGATTAGATATTTAGGCCCATTTGCCTTCCACCAAACCAATATGTCAAAGTTAGGAGTCCCAGGCAATAGTTTCTCCTCTAAATAAAAATAAAGTTCTGACTTTCCTTCGACAACAATTGATTCTTGTGCAATATACATCTCAAAGTCACTAACGGACCCATCATCCTCACTACAAGGACTATTAGTATGAAAAGAGGGTGCTCCATTGGGAGGAGGTTGACTACTTCCTTGCTTGGTACTGATTAAATAAATCTGATAAAAATCCTTGAATTCTCAGAATATGATATTTACCATCAACTCCATAGATTCGAGGAAAAAAAATAATCTAACGATTTCATTTTGTATCTAGGATCTAAAAGACTCGCTACTCCCAAGACACCGTGAATCACATCCCAATACTTGCTAAATTTTCAAGCATTTTTGCTGCCATATTCCTTATCAAATCATTCCCACATCTGAGCCCGCTAGACAATACAATTCTAATTTTACAAACTTTTGGGAAATAAATATTAGATGTCGGATATTTTTTTCTAGAGAACAAGTTTGTGGCAACATAAAATATTTTCAACTTTGAACAAACTTGTTCTGCCAACTCCTATTCCTTCTCAGTTGGCAACATTAGATGTCAACTGAATCAATAATTTCACAAACTTTTAGGAAATAAATATTAGATGTCGGATATTTTTTTCTAGAGAACAAGTTTGTGGCAACATAAAATATTTTCAACTTTGAACAAACTTGTTCTGCCAACTCCCATTCCTTCTCAGTTGGCAAACATCTATATTGTGGCTCACGAAGCTTTAAATGAAAAAACACATCTTTGTAAATGAAAGCAGTTTCAAGCATTAAATAAGTTGAGTTCCAGCGAGTCTTACAGTCAAGAGCCAACTTCTTTGTACTTTCAATGCCTTCTTGACGTGATGCTTCAACAAATTTTTGGTCTCTTTTAGGAGATGCTGACCAATAAGCAACACTCTCACAAATTCTTGCAATTGCTTGTCCAATCACCGATAATCCATCTTGAACAATTAGATTCAGAACATGCGCACAACAACGCATATGAAACAATGAACCACATAGCATAAGTGAGGCACTTGGAAGTTCATTCAAGATATCTTTAACAACTGCATCGTTGGTGGAGCAGTTATCAAGCGTCAATGTCGACAACTTTCTATCAATATTCCACTCATAAAAGCAGTCCATCAATGCCACAACAAGCACATCTCTAGTATGTGGGCAAGGCACATATACAAATCTGCAACATTAATTATACATAAAAAAATAATATTAATATAGCTACAAAAATTGTATTAAAAAATAAGAATGATAAAACCTTAAAAGATAATACCTTATGAGTCGACTTTGTAAGATCCAGTTGTTGTCGATAAAGTGTGCTGTGATCATCATATATCCTTTGTTTGATTGCTGGCAGTCCACAAATCCGAAGTGATAGCAATCCTACTCCGGTTTTTGTTTAACAATTTCATTGTCTTCTCTTTTTCTACATCATAAATCTTGAATATGTCTTTCTTAATAGTGTTTCTACTCACAACCTTAAACAACGGTTGCATGTTGTTACAAAATCTTCTAAACCCGTAATGATCAACCATGCTCAAAGGATATTCATGTAGAACAATCATCATTGCAAGGTCCTTCCTCACCGACTCTTGATCAAGCTGATGCGAAGTTAAGGTCATTTGTGACTTTGAACTTGAATCCTCTCCCAGGGTCATCGCACAAAATCTCTGTGATACATCTCCATACTTTCGCCTTGGACGATTTTATAATGTGAATGCAAGTGCCTTGTCCCATTTTTGGAACCACCAGCAAGTTGTTTACGACAATAGTTACACTCTGCTTTATCCTTGCCATCAACTTTAACTTTCTTAAAATGTTGCCATACAACTGATTTTGTCCTTACAGTATTGCTGCAACTGTCAACATCATTAAGGGGCCATCTTTTTCATGTGTTTCTTCCTCAGTATCACAATTGGAGATTGAATTTGATTACTTCCAATCAGATCCGGAGTCGACAATTTTTTGATGAGTCAGAAGGTAGATTCATCTCCTCCTCTAAGCTTTTTTCGTTTACCAAGTAAAGAAGTTTGATTGACATGTTGAAACCTAAAGAATGAACAAAAAGTTGAATATCAATAAACAATTCATACTAATCATCAAAAATCAAACTACCGATCAATAGTACTATATCCACCAAACACACACAGCACATAAATGTTATATACTGACTATAGAACAAATTTAACATGTTTATCTATCATTTCACAAATAAGCAATGTTTTTTGGTAAGAATCATGGAACTCACAGGTTGGATTAGGATGCATTTAATACCTTCTTGTTTCTAGTATAGTATTGATCCGGCGGGTTACATATGAGTACAAATAAATAAGCCCATTTCTACTTAGAATATGTACCCATATTACATTTTTTTTTTTTTTTTTTTTTTTTTTGGAAGACAAAACATTATGATTTTCCATGTTGCAATGCCATGATCAAACTATAATTTAATGTGTTTAAACATCAAAGTTGGCATTTTTCTTAAGATCCCGTTGATGCTTTACTCAAAAGCACTCCTCTTCTTAATTGAGCTATTTCCGCAAAAAATTTAAGCAATAGTAGTAATTAAAACTACTAATATTTTATTATACTACTTTTCAGCTGTGCATAATATGTTATGGTGAAATCCACTTTTATAATTTGAACCAAACCATCTAACTCATTTAAAGGCAACACCTCTGTAAGCTAACTAGCAGAACATCTCTTAAATTTTATTTTTCTTTTGGCCTACAGGATAAAATTAAACGGGCATCATTCATTTTGCATCGGTTAACATTGTATCCAATCCATTAAAGATCAGAAGACAACCTATTACATAGTCTTCAGATTGTATTTTAGTTAAAAAGAAACAGATAAGCTTCAAACAATTTGACGCAACAAATTAAGAATCTAAGATGACTCCATGTATGCCAAATCTCAAAAAATTAAAGGCAATTTTAACATGTTAAACCTTCATTACATGGGTGAAGCTATTATCGATTTAAAACTTTTATTTTCGTTTCATGGAAACAATAAAAGGAAATGGCAAAACAT